TGCCGGTATTTAGGTAGATTGTACAGGGTGTAACCTGGGAATTGGTAATACTTCAGTTTGTCATCCGAAATGTTAGCTTCCATAATTGTGAAAATGTCTACATCATAGGTTTGTAGGATTTTCTGTATTTGGATCTTTTTGTCCGGAGACATTCCTCCAGCATTCCACTGGAGGATCTGAAGACGTAGTGGTTCGCCCTGACGAGGGCGATTTTTCTTAGAGCCTTTTTTAAAGCTAATCATAATTAATCGAAGTCAAAACCGAATGCCGAGTGATAGACTTTTTTGTCGTAAGAAAATACGTTGTCCAGGGTGCACCACGAGGAGGTAAGTCTATCGCGCACCCCATAATAAAGAATAATAATTCTTGTATTAATCACTAAAACTTCTAAAATAGACTAAATTTCAAATGCACCTCTGTCTTTCAAACGTTACATTTCAAAATCCAAACAAAAAACTTTTAAATACGCATCTGAAAAGTGAATCCGAACATAGGCAGTATATGGTAAATCGCCTGTAATACTAAATTGAGATTAAAAACTGCCGAAAAACAATTCGAGTGGACCAAAACATTCCAATAAACTGTATTCAGAAACACTATTTAAATTTTCAAATCCGGAAGTGTTTAGCAAGAAAATAAGCGAAACATAATTATGGAACATAGACGCTGCAAAATGAGTAAAGCCACATGGCAGGTTTGCATGTTCATTAAAAAAATCGATCTAAGAGTATAACTCAAGTAAGTAATTTTGAATAGTTAGCGACAGTTAGCTCGTTTAAAACTTAATGAGCAGACAACTAAATACGATGGGCAGGGCAAAATAATAAATATCTATCGGAAAAAAAAACAGTGAAAAGATACAAATAGGCTGCAATTAAAACAATCAAACAGCAAGTTGAATAAATTTGCGGTTATAAGTTGATAGCTATAATTTCTCCGTTGAACAGCTAACGGATTAGCGGCGTCGAATGTAACGACGCATGGCATATACAGCGGTCAATAGAACACCAGTTGGCACTGCGAAATCGATTAACTTTGACCTTGAAAAGAAACAATATCAATGATATGTAAAGACACTTAGATACAACATTTAAATTAAGAAAACTTGCCTATATAAATACTTCTCGGAACGATTGTTGGCGAATTTATGACGAAATTCACTGTCTTTCTAAAAATTTGAAGGATAAACTAAAAGTCACATTAATATAATTAAAATTTAAAATATTATTTCATAATATATAAACAAGCCTCCGCAATCTCCCCAATGTAGAATTTATTCATCCAATGTCGTGCACCTTCTGAATGGGGAACAGCATTGAATCCCTTCGTTGCAAACGTACCTGCGACTTCCATAATGGAATCAGTACCACCGGGATGCTAGACTCCGCAAATAAATGATCAATATACAGTATAAAAATAAACAAACCTTTTCAAGCAATGAAGTGACATCATAAACGTTATCATTAATTACGACCCAACAGTCTTCTTCTGTATTGTGCTTGTTAACTTCATTTATTGAGTAGATTTTCGATTCTTTCATAGTCAAAAGATGGAAAATTCTAAGGAAATATGCCTCAAGGCCAAGTCGTTAACGAAACGCCAGCGTCAGCTTAAAGAATTTGTTTTTGTGGGGCACCATTCAAGGACATTAAATTTTACAACATATTGACTAATAAATCTAGACTGAAACATTTATTATATATAGACTAAACTTTAACAAAATAACTCTATTTGTGATACTGAAGCAGTTAAGCAGCCTGTCTGCAATTTTTACCATTTTTAGGAAAGTATATCGTTTTTAATTGAAAGATAAAATTATTGTGTAACTTTTCGTCACATTCGTCTAATCAGAAGCTCGTCTTTTATAGTATAACGAGACACTGTAATGGCATATGGCCATGGTATATGCATTCACAGAGCGTAATATAAAACTCTATATGATAAATCAGATCTAAATGCTCGAGGCAAATTAAATTCCCACGGCAGATAAAGAAACTTATTGTTATTTGAGGTTGATTATCTCTTCTCATATAGCTATAACGTTGGTTATCTTCTTAAAATAAAATAAGCCTAAATTATAACTAAGATGCATTGATTATTTACAATAAAAAATTATAATTGCCAAAACAGAGTTTTTAGTTATAGCGGATGATGGAAACAACCTTATTTAATGGACTGGGCAGTGTTACAAGATTTACGCCTTATAATAATTTTGTTAGGCTGTTAAGTTATGAGAGCCCTCTTAAAATATAAATCGTTTCCTGCAAGAGGTAAATTCTCTATATAGTGAATGTAAATAAGCCAGATAGATAGACTATGTCTTTTTAGTTTGAAATAACTCTTACCTCTAAACGAAATAATTTAGAACAAGTTCAGTATGCTAAGACCACATTATGCAAGGTTGAGTCAGTCAATTCAAAGAAGAGAATGGGAGTAAGACATTTTATCTATTCAGAATTTCCTTAATAAAACGTGGTTAAGCGATATGCAAAGCTCCCTGTGATTTATGCAATCATTTTATTCACTTTCATTTACTCCATCTAAATATATTAGGTGATAAGAAAACTACTGTAAACGCTTCAATTGTTCAAGTATTTGATCAGAAAAACAAAAAAGTCTCGAAAGAAAGAATGGTTTGGTTAATTAATAGGATATAAGTATAGAAATAATTTTGTACCTCATCAAGTTTACTCTGCCTGACAATCGCCTTTCCATTTGCTATTAAATGCGTTCATTATGGTTATCTTAAATATATAAAATAAATGAACAAAACATGCGCTTTTGAAGCAAACACTGTGTAGATACCCAAAATGATTTCCTTTGTTAGATTAACTAAGCATATATTCAAAAAGCTCACACATTTCGACTTTCTCAAATAGACTATTTTTTGAGTTCGCGGTGCGTGACGAACTTACCTCCACGTGGTGCATTCTGGGCAACGTATACTCAAGCGGCAAAAAAGTCTATTAACTGGCAGTTGACTCCCGATTTCAAACTACCATGATCCCACTGTATGTCATGTTCGTCCACTTTCCCAGTACTCTCCTTACCTTTTCCCTGCCATTGTGTCTGTCTCTCTTTTATATCTGTGAATCACTAGTCTGTCCCCTCTCTCAAACTTTTGGCACTTTGATGTTTCTCCCCTCAGTGAAGCCCGAAGTCAGCCAAAGGCCTAATGATAACGATCACGTCTGCCATTTGAAATAAATAAGATATACATATTG